CTTGCCGAAGGCGGCCAATAGGGCTTCGTGGAAACAGGCAGCTTCAAGCTGGCCACAGAGGCAAGGTCCTGGGAGGACAGAGGAGGTCGGGAGCCAGCCCTGCTGGCCCTGCCAGTGTCGGCGTTTGGTCTGGGACAGGAGAGGGCAGTGGATGGCATCGGGGCAGGCTGGTGGGCCTGGTGGTAGCTGTGTGGCAGCAGTTCCCAGGCCCTGGTGTGGGGCACGCCCCGTCTCTGAGCCCCCCTGGGGCAGGGGCATGTCGGCCAGCGGCCAGTTTCTCATTAGCATCCTCTGGGGACGCAAGCCGACACTGGCCACTGCATTGCATTAGCACAGGACCCTGACGAGCCAGTCGTGTGGACAGAGATCCCCAGGTAATTAAGCAGCCAGTGTTTGCTGTGGGCCTGATGGTGTGTGTGGTGGGAGGAGGAAGTGCCTGCTGAGTCCCTGCTGGGAGTCGGGCGTGGCCTACTCTAGCGGTCCTGGGGCTGGACCAGGCTTCCGCTGCCTGTCATCAGTGCCTCCACCCCTGCTGCCCTGTGGGGCCCCGGGGTGAGGGCCAGGGAGGTGGGCGCCATGGAAGAGCATGTGCCTGGACAGGGCGGGGTCCCGAGCCCGCGCACCCCGCATCCTGCCTGTCAGAGGGTGCTCTTGGATCCTTACTTGGCGGTGGGCTCCAGCGTACCTCCCTCGATGTCTGCCTGCGGCCAGCTGGGCTCCGTGGCCCCGGCAGCCCCCAGACGCTGTGTGGTGGGGTGATAGGTCAGGCAGCGTGCACTCTGCACCCAGGCCTCCTTGCTTCCATGTGGCCAGGCCCCCTCCCTGTCACCCTCTGTGTAACTGCCTCCCAGGTGCCGTGTTGGCTGGAAATCTGGGGCTTGAGGCGGGGCTGCTGGCTGAGGCCACGGTGGGAGCTTTGGCTCGCTGTAGCTCAGGCAGGCCTTTCAGTTCCCGGACCCCTGAGACTGGGACGCCTGCCAGTTCCTGGGCTGTGAGCGGGTGCCCCACCCACCACCCCCTAATCACCTGTAAAACAGGCAACACATTAGTCCCCTGGAGACTGCCAGGCCCTCTCACCCCGGGTCTGCCCGTCACGGGCTCTGCCCACAGCGGGCCTGTCTCCTCCACTGCTTGGCCCGGTGTTTGGAACCGCTTGGCCCGTGTCCAGCACCCTCCTGCCACGGTGGGTCACCTTGCCCACTAGGGATCGGGCCAGCCCACGCACCCCCGCCACCCACCCCTGAGCCAGGCAAGGGGCCCGAAACGGCCCAGCCATGTGTGCTGCGCTGAGCGTGTCTGTGCCTGCCGGCCGGACGGAAGGTAGGCGGTGAGGATGAGAAACGGCGATGACCGAGGGGGACAGATGGGCGTCGGGGGCGGCGGTGAGCCCGTTGCGGGGGGAGCCGGCAGGGATGGGACGCGTGCAGCCACGCTGGGGAGCCGTGACCCTTGCGTGTGGACGCAACCCCCACCCGAGCTATTTCTGGCCTGGCTGAGCTGGCTGCAGCCCCCTGTTCTGCCTTGTAACCACAGTCGGTGACGTGACCCTCCATGAGATGTTCTCAGTGCTCGAGAGGGTCCTGAGCGGATGCTACCGGAGCCCACCACAGACCGCCGACCCCAGGCTCCAGGACCCGAGGCCAGCTGCCCACACCTCCAAGTCTGGCCCGCTCCGGCTGCGGCCATGCCAGCTGCCCTTTGGGCCGAGACTGCTGGTTCCTCCGGCCCCTCCTGGCCGTTCTGTGGCTCCTTGTTTTGCCCACGTTTCCCCAGGACCTGCTCTGAGTGGCAGCAGGTCGCAGCTTAACCGCTCACTGCCTCAGCTTCTGAAGGTGGGCTCACACACTGAAAAGAAAACGGGTTCTCGCGTGACTCCGACTCAGGCCTTTGTGTACCAACTGGTGGGCCCTCGTGACAGCCTGCAGAGGGGGTGTCACGGCTGCCCCGTCACCGCAGGGAGGCTCTGGGCCTCAAGGCTGGCAGCCCTGAGCCATCTCTTGGGTGCAGATGGCCTTGGAGGCCACGCCAGGCCTGACACCTCCCAGCCTCCTGGCCTTGTCAGCAGCCAGGAGAGACCCTGAACAGCGTCTGGTCTCCATGCCCCCACCTCCCAGGCCCAAGGGGCTGGAACCACGGCTCCAGAGCAGACCTGGCCTAAGCTGGAGGTGCCCCTCTGCGGGGAGGGCACCAGAGAAGACCCCGGCCATTCTGTGCAGAGGCCCTGGGACAGGAGGGTTTGGCTCTGGAAGAAGCTGAGGGGGCCTGCTGGCCTGGCATGGGACCCAAGTCGTGAGGCTTGCAGGGGCCTGAGGGGGCCTGGTGCACCGTGCCATGGTTTCTGTGAATGAGGCCCACGCGCGGAACGGTTTTCTCACCTTGTGTGCAGGAGGTCAGCTCCCACTGGGGTCCAGTGGGGCCGGTGCAGTGGGTGGCCAGCTGGAGCCTGGGTGGGTGGGGTATTGAGGAGAGAGAAAGGAGAGGCAGGTGAGCAGGGCGCAACCTGAGGGCATCTGATGGGGGCAGACCTGGAGTCCTGAGAGGCCAGGACCGTGGAGGCCAGCAAGGAGGGGGCTGGGGGGAGCACTGTGGGACAAGGGGATGGGCTGGGAGACAGTCTGGGGATGGCTGAGGGACGGGGGGTGGGGATGCCTTCTAAGGTGGGAGGGATTAGGTGAGTGGTGGGATCCAGGCCCTGGGGCGTGGCCAGGGGCGGCCTCCCACTACCTGGTGGGGGCTCCCATGTTCCAGGGCCTCCGCCGTGAGTATGAACACATGACCCAAAGTTGGACTTGATTATCTCATAAAGAGATGCCCCCTCTGCTTGCTCAGCAGAGGGGTTGCCATGGAGACCAGCGGGCAGGCCCCAAGGGGGCCAGGCCAGAGCCAATTACTGCGGCTGAGGCGAGGAGCGGGCCCACCGCTGGCTGCTGTGCTAACAGCAGGGCCCGTGCAGAGGGACTGACCCTCAGAAGTTGGTTTCCAAAAAGCTGCCGGCTGGGCGAGAGGGGAACCATGTCTGTATGCCTGATGCCTGCCTCCTGGCAGGACCCAGACATGTGGCCTGTGGCCTGTGGTCCTCTGGAGGCCCCGCATGGAGACGGCCAGTGCTGGTGGTGACCTGACCTCAACCCAGACAACTTCACAGACCGTAGCTGCCGGCCTGGGAGCAACGGGTCAGGGGGCGAGGGTAACAGGGCTCAGTCGGCAGGCATGGGGCGGGTTGGTCACGATGGCGTGGCCCAGCCGTGGTGGTGAGGTCCGGAGTTGGCCTGATGAGGGCCTGCCCCCCGCCTGGCCCCCACCCCAGAGAGTCCCCTGCCAGAAGGTTTCAAGAACAGGAAGTACCATTTTTATAGCACAGGCACATTCCTCGGTAACAGCAGTGGGAGGCCACGGAGCTGGCTTCACCGGGCCTTGCCTCCCAAAGGAGGCCTGGAAGGAGACAGTAGGGAGGGGATGCCAGCTGAGATGCCACCCGGTGACCTCCTGTGTGCTGCCAGCCCAGGGAGGGGCATCCAGGGCTTGCAGGAGGTGGGCCTGGGGCTTCCGTGTCCCCAGCAGCCAACAAACGGCCCAGCCCCAGTGGACACGCCCAGCCTGCTGGGCCTCTGGGCTTGGGGCAGGTGTCAGCACCTGCCCAGGCAGAGAGGACCCAGGAGGGGGCGGGAGCCCAAGGTCACAGTCCTGGGTGGGGGAAGCTAACCCATGGTCCTCTCCTTTCTCCCTCCCGGCTCCAACCCCAGCACTTAGCTGGCCTCAGGTCTGCAGAATCCTGCTCTTAGCTAGCTGCCAAGGAAAGTGTTAGCTGTCAATGCAGGTGTTAGCTGTCAATGAAGGTGTTAGCTGATAACTCAAGTGTTAGCTGATAAGCCATAACCCTCCCAGGGGGATTCACATTTTAATAGACTCACTCCTGAGGCAGAAAGAACCTCTGCATTCAAAGCAGAGGCTCTAATGGTGAGGTGACAGGCAGGGAGCCCAGTGGTGGGCGTGTGGCCCTGCCAGTGAGCCCAGCCTGGGGACAGCACCCAAGAGTGCTCTCCCACCCACTCCAGGTCTTGGGTGAGGCCCCGTGATGGGGGAGGGAAGATGGGGGCTGCATCCCTCTGGCTGGGGTGGAACCCCTGGGAGAGTGTCTGGGCATAAGGGTTGGGCGCAGCTGGACTGGAGTAAGCTCCTCGCCCAGGTAGGAGATGGAGCAGAAAATGAGGCAGAGGGGAGAAGGCGGCCAGAGGTTCACCAGGAAGCATGCCTGCCCCCAGTCCTGGACCTGCCTGCCCCTGCCCTCAGGGCTCCTGATCCAGGAGCTGGTGGGGCAGTTTCCTGGCTCCGGCTGTGGGACCAGACCCTGGCTGAGGGCCGAGGGGCTGCAGCTCCCAGCTCCCTAGGTGGTGATGCTCCCTAGGGGCTCTGGGTCACAGCCCCACCCTTCCTGCAGCCTGTGAGGACCTTCTTGGGGTGAGTGATGCTGCTGCAGAAGCTGTCAGAAGACAGGCCTAAACGTGAGCCGTAGCCCCAGGCTCGCGGCATGAGTGGGGCCCACCTGGTGAGCCAGTGTTTGCCAGGGTCTTCTCTCCCCGCCTGGCCTGTGAGCTGCTGGCGCTAGGACTGCGTGCAGGCCCACCGGTGATCTGGCGTCTACAGGTGTGCGTGTCCATCCCAGGAGGCCTTCCCGTGGACCCCGAGTGGTGGCTGCGGCGTGGCAGCTCATGTATTTGAGTCCCAGGCGGCAGTCAAGATTTCCCGCGGAGCTTGAGACCGCTGGCGGGTTTTGGGGTGCAGCAACTTCCTCATGGCAGGTGGGGCAAGGATCCCCGCACTGGAGGTCCCTGAGCAAAGCTCCTCCTGCAAACCCCGCCCTCGCTGGCCCCGCCCACTCACCGGGGCGGAGCCCCTCCTGCAAGCCCCTCTCGCCGGCCCCGCCCACTCACAGAGGCAGAAACCCTCCTACAAACCCTGGCCCCGCCCCGCCCACTCACCGCCCTCCGCTCTGCCCGCAGGAAGCCAGCTGCTGGCCTGGGTGCTGTGGCTGCAGGCGTGGAGGGTGGCGGCGCCCTGCCCAGGCGCCTGCGTGTGCTACAACGAACCCAAGGTGACCACCAGCTGCCCGCAGCAGGGTCTGCAGGCCGTGCCCGCCGACATCCCGGCCGCCAGCCAGCGAGTCTTCCTGCACGGCAACCGCATCGCGTACGTGCCCGCCGCCGGCTTCCGCGCCTGCCGCAACCTCACCATCCTGTGGCTGCACTCGAACGCGCTGGCCCACATCGACGCGGCCGCCTTCTCCGGCCTGGCGCTCCTGGAGCAGCTGGACCTCAGCGACAACGCGCAGCTGCGGTCCGTGGACCCCGCCACGTTCCGGGGCCTGGGCCGCCTGCACACGCTGCACCTGGACCGCTGCGGCCTACGGGAACTGGGCCCCGGCCTGTTCCGCGGCCTGGCCGCCCTGCAGTACCTCTACCTGCAGGACAACGGGCTGCAGGCGCTTCCCGACGACGCCTTCAGCGACCTGGGCAACCTCACGCACCTCTTCCTGCACGGCAACCGCATCCCCAGTGTACCCGAGCGCGCCTTCCGTGGCCTGCACAGCCTCGACCGCCTCCTGCTGCACCAGAACCGCGTGGCGCGCGTGCACCCGCACGCTTTCCGGGACCTCGGCCGCCTCATGACGCTCTACCTGTTTGCCAACAACCTCTCCGTGCTGCCCGCGGAGGCCCTGGCGCCCCTGCGGTCCCTGCAGTACCTGCGGCTCAACGACAACCCCTGGGTGTGCGACTGCCGCGCGCGCCCGCTCTGGGCCTGGCTGCAGCAGTTCCGCGGCTCCTCGTCAGAGCTGCCTTGCAGCCTGCCCGCGCGCCTGGCAGGCCGCGACCTCAAGCGCTTGGCCGCCACTGACCTGGAGGGCTGCGCCGTGGCCACGCGGCCGGCCCCTCCCCTCTGGACCGGCGGGCCTGCCGACGAGGAGCCTCTAGGGCTGCCCAAGTGCTGCCAGCCGGACGCCGCAGACAAGGCCTCGGTGCTGGAGGCCGGGAGGCCCGCCTCGGCCGGCAACGCTCTCAAGGGACGAGTCCCTCCCGGTGACGGCGCTCCGGGAAACCGCTCCGGCCCCCGGCATATCAACGACTCGCCCTTCGGGACCCTGCCGGGCTCAGCCGAGCCCCCCCTGACCGCGGTGCAGCCTGAGGGCTCCCAGCCCCCTGAGTCCCCCACCACAGGCCCGCGTCGTCGGCCAGGCTGTTCCCGCAAGAACCGCACGCGCAGCCATTGCCGTCTGGGCCAGGCGGGCGGTGGGGGCAGTGGGGGCGGCGGGGCCGGCGGGGTGGAGGGCTCGGGCGCCCCACCCGGCCTCACCAGCGGCCTCGTCCCCGTGGCTCTGGCGCTGGTGCTGTGGACGGTGCTCGAGCGCTGTTGACTGGCCCCCGAGCGCAAGGCCTCTCTCAGCAGCTGGGTGTGTGTACATACGGGGTACCCTCGCGCCACCAGCCAGCCGGCCTGCCGCCCTCCCTGGCGGCGCCGCCCACTGCCCACCCGCCTGCCCTCCCCAACTCCACCTGTCATGTTTACAGGGCAAGGCGGGGCGTTTGTTCCAGAACGCCGCCTCCCGCCCAGAACGCAGTATAGAGATATGCATTTTATTTTACTTGTGTAAAAATATTGGACGATGTGGAATAAAGAGCTCTTTTCGTAAGCTGTGGCCTCTCAGGCTGGGGGGACCTGTGAGCCGGGGAGGGGGGTGAGCTGGGAAGTGACACCCCGCCCCCTTCACGGCACCCGGAGGCCCAGGAAGGTGGGGGCGTCCGCTGCAAGTGCTGCGGCCTGGGCGTGCAGCGAGACCTCTTTCAGCCCAGCACTTGTGCCAGCAGGGACCTGGGGCGCTACAGCTGCCGCCCCTCCCAGCCGCGCTGGCCTTAAGGCCGACCCCCGTGTGCCTTGACCCCCTCCCTCCTGGCTGTCCTGACAGCGGTGTCTCCAGCGCAGACCATGGCCAGCAAGACAAGGCTCCCTTTGTGGGGCCGTCTGCTCTGGGTTCATATGGAGTCCCTAGCAGTCCCGGCCTCCCAGTGCCACTTTGGCTGCCCCCACCAGCTCCCGTGTGGGTTGGGGGGTCCCAGAGGGCCCTGCAGGTAGGCTCGGGTGGCCCTGATGGAGTACTGGGCGGTGAGGCCCTGCAGAGTCTGTGTGCCACCCTCACCCCTGGGCCTGGGTGCTGACGCCAGAGCCAGAGCTGGGCCTGCGCTCCGCACGCCCACACCATTCTGCACACACGTTCACGCACAGGCCGGGCAGGGACCACACGTGTGCACACATATGCATGCACACGTGTACTCACACGCAGCACGGGCGAAAATATCAACATGCACGTTTTCCCAAATCCTGGGCATAAGGACTCGAACTAGAGAAGCCATGTGGCCACCCCGCCCTCCCCTGGGGGCGGGGCCTGGGGAGTCGAAGCGCGGGAGGAGCACACAGTCCACAGTCAGCTGGGGTTGGGGGGGTGGGGGCCGGGGCCTGGGGAGGCTAAGAGGGAGGAACACACAGTCCTCTAGGGTGGGGGGTGGGGGTGCGGCTAGCGTTGCCGCGGAGCCAGCTGGTCGTGGGCGCTGCTGGGGCTCCAGAACCTGAGGGAGGGGCAGTGGACCGGGTGTGCTCAGCAACCAACCCCTGCTCCCCCACCCAGCCCCTCTGCGCCCCTGGTGGGGGCTCAGACCCCCACCCCTGCCCCAACCCAGGGCAGAATCGGGCTGCTGTGTGGAGGGGGGCTCCCTGTCTCCCATCCAGCTCCTTCCCCTCCTCGGCTGGGTCCTCCCACCACCTTCCTGGTAGCCAGGAAACTGCAGACGCCCATTTGCACAGAGCTTGGAGGCACACCTGAGCTCCTCGCCTTGCACGCCTCCTGGTATGGGGTGGACACTGCTTCTCACTGAGAGGCACCTGTCTGCCCTTGGGGCACTCCTAAGGCTGACTGTGTCTGTTCCCACCAGCTGGCCCTCAGGTGGGAGCCAGGAGCCCCCCAGAGGCCCTGCTTCCATGGCCACACGCTCCTCCTGCTGCTGCCTGAGCCCCAGCCCGTCTTCTGGGGGCCCCATGTCCTCTTCCCGGCCCCCAGGACAAAGAAACCCAGGCCACAGTGAGCGGGGAATTGGGACAGGGCTAGCCAGGCCTCCGAGGGTGAAGCAGGTGAACTGGGGACGGGGGTGTGGTCTTGCAGACTTTGTCCCCGTTCTGATTTCCCACAAAAGCCATCTGGCCACTGAGAGCACAGTGGGCACACAGGTCTGGCCAGGCCCAGGTCAGATGGGGCCCAAGAGGGATGGGCATGTTTGAGCCAGACCCAGCAGAAAGCAGCGGTGGGCAGGGCTCCCGGCCCTGGTGCTGAGCAGCCTGTGCCCAAGGCGGGGGTGCCCAGAGGAGCAGCCCCCGTTGTCAAGGCCTAGGAGACATCTGGGCGGGGGTGTCGCGTGGGCTGTGCAGGCTGAGCTGAGGAGAGGGGCCCAGGCTGGAGGACAATTTGGGAGTTGTGAGTTTGGGTGATATTTACAGCCCAGGAAGCAATGACATCACCACTGGCGCTGGGCCCAGGGCAGCAGGCTCAGCTCCTGTGTGTCTCTCCCAGCCCAGACCCCCGCCAGTCAGTGGGTCCCCGGGGGTCAAGCCCGCTGGACATTGGGAGCCAGGCAGGGCACTGATTCAAGCCACGAAAAGAGCACTGAGTGTCCACCGCCCCAGGCTGGCTGCTGGTTTGCCAGGGCGCTCCTGGCCCTCATCCAAGGGTGGCAGGCCGGCCACAGGGCAATGGTGCACGGGTCCCTTGCAGCTCACAGACCTTCCCGTCCCCACCCAGAGTGGTCAGGGCAGGGCTGCCCCCGGAGCCTGGGAAGGACAGGGCTGCCTGCCTGCGGGCCTCTGGGGGCCGAAGGGGCCCGGGACCACCAAGTGCTGCCGCCAACCTGCAGGGCTGGCCCAGGTCCCCAGACAAGAGCTCCTGCCCCAGTCTATCTGGTGCCCAGGGCTCCGCACAGTAATTGGAAAAAATATTAGGATAATCCTTGAATTAGTTATGAAATAATAGAAGCAGCAGAACGTTCAGCAGCTGATGGTGGACCGACGTCCATGGAGACCGAGAACATGTCAGGAGTGCATTTACGGGAAGAAAGTGTTTATTAGCGGGCAAGCTGGGCCCCAGTGCTGCAGGGCGGCTGCCCTCCACGGGCAAGGTAACCTGGTCCCGCCTTGGCCCCCACAGAGCCTCTCTGCCCTCAGGCACAGCCCCGAGGCTACCCTGGAGCCCTGCACGCCCGGCCCAGCCTGTGCTTGTCATGGGGGGCGGGGACAGCAGCATTCCAGACACAGCCCTCCCCACGTGGCCAAGCTGGAACCCTGGGGGAGTGTAGTTTCCTCACTACTGCCCACCCAGTGTCCAGACACACAGCACCATGGGGTCCTCCTCCCAGCACCCTCTGTTCACATCAACACTCAATTCTGACATTACCGGCTCTGCCAGGAAGCCCTTTGAGATCCCCCCAGGCTGATCCCTCCCCAGCCAGGTGGTCATGGAGCTCCTGGAAGGCACCCACAGGGCCCAGACCTAAGGGTCCCTATGGCTCATGGAACCACTATGAGGGGGGCCCAGGCCAAGCCAGAACCAGAGGGACTCCTGGGCCACTGAGACAGCTGCAGCCCCCGACAGAGGGCGGACAGCCCATTCCGGCCACACCAACTGCGAGCCATCCGCGCAGCGGACGCCCCCCCCAACCCCACAGGCCTGTCTTCTGGGCCTTGAGAGCTCGCATTTGGAATCCCAGGCTGTGCCAGCCATGGCGGGGCTGCTCGGGCTGTGGCCGGAGCACCACCGAGCGTCCCTTTCTTCCTGCAGCCAACAGCAGCCTGGGCCGCAAAACAGGAAGCAGACGGGCGCCCAGCCTGCAGCCCCCGTGGGAGGCCTGGGGTCCTCCCTGCCGGCGTTTCCCAGGGTGAGAGCTGGGGGCCGGCAGGGGTGCTGCTCTTCGGGCGTCCTCCCCTTAGGCTGCCTGGGACAGGCAGGGGGGGGCCAGCTGTGTGGTCTGGCCTGTGGGAGCCCCCCAGGGCGAGCCCGGCCGCACCCCCCAGGAGAGGCCTGGGGCCCCAGCCCCTGCTCTGCAGGGAGCACTAGTTAAACCCACTGTTGACAGCTCGGTGGGCAGGAGGCTCTGATCTGTCATCACGAAGGGCTGTGCAGAGGTTTGTGGGCCATGACGGAGTATCCATCTCGGGCAGGGAGCACGGGGAGGCGGACCCTCCCCTCCGACACGGGCCCAGGCTGTGGGGGTGCCCACCGGGGACAGAGGAGCGGTGATGTGAACAATGGGGTTGACGAAGGCTGGGCAGGGGAAACAAGGCCAGCCCCCCGGGAGGGTCTGGGGACGGAAGCCAGGGACCCCAGGTCAGGGACCACATGATGCACACAATTATTTGTGAAAAATGATGGAACAGAGATGAACAGTTGGGTGGGTGCAGGGGTTCCAGGGACTCCCAGGATGCAGTTGCTGTGCCGAGTCGGGAGGGTCTCCGGGCCTCGGGAACTCGGTGTGGGGAGGGGTGCCGCCTCTGACAACCAAGGGGGTACTTCATGGCTGAGCCACCCAAGGGGGCCCTCTGCCCCCCAGGAGCAAATGCAGCCACAGCTGGCCACCACCAGGCTCTCACCCATCCCCGTTCCTGACTCCCGTCCCTCCCACCCCAGGGCCCCTGTCCTGTCTCCCCTCTGCCAGCAGTCCGGGCAGGGCTGAGGGCCCCTTCACAGACCCGTCCACCTGCTCGCCATCCACACACACTCTCCACTCTTCCCTAAATAGGCCTCACCGCCGGGGCTAGGGAGGGGGCCCAAGGCTCTTCTGTCACCAGGTCAGCGTCACCAGGATACACACGGCCCTCCAGCCCCGGACCCCCAGAACGGCAGGGGCACAAACCGGCCCCGAGGCCACGTCCTAGGCCAAGCCTGACTCAGAGTGACAACCCAGGCCGGGCTGGGGCTGCTGCCTTGCCCACCCTCATGCCTACTGCTGGGTCCAGGCTTTCAGGGGACCCGGCCAGGCACCCACCTGGTCTGCTGGGGACAGACACACCCAAGGGGCGAGATGGCCCTCACCCCAATCTCCCCACGCAGGTGAACTGGGTCCAATGACGTTTGCAGGTCTCCTGCCCATTAGGCGCAGTCTGTGAAAACCAACCCAATTAACACCACCACACAGAAGCACCCAGTGCTGCGCTCCAGAAATAGGACGTGAGCCCAGGTGAGAACTACGGGAAGTGAGGGGGCGCCTGGCACCCGCTGTCCCCGCAGCAACATCTCCGGGAGCCGCTATGTCCTCGCCACCCGGGCAGTCAATGCAGTGTCTGGCTCCCAGCGGTCTCCACCCCATGAGTCCTACTGAT